CCCCCGGCCACGTGACCCGGCCCGGCGCAGCCCGGCTCCGGGGTGTCCACACCTGTGGAATCGGGACGGAGAGTCCGGAGGGTCCAGCCGGGACCCTCGTGGGGAGCCACCCTGCCAGACTTGTCGTTCGGACGCCTGATATGCATGCTCACTTAAACCCGTCCAGGAGGAACGCGTGGTGGTCCCCGCCTCCCGCGCTGCGCCCCTTCTCCCGCCAAGTCTTTCCTGGTCGGGTAAAGGCAGCTCCATCTTCCCAGCTGCGCAGGCCCGAAACGTTCGAGTAATGCGCGGCCCTTCCCTTTCTCTCAAACCCAATCCATCGGCAGCTCCTGTCGATTCTCCCTTCTAAATATTTACATAATCTGACGCCCTTCACCTCCACTGTCACCACCCTCGTCCACTCTCTCTCGACAACACAGCAGCTCTCCCCGCTTCCCAGTCTGCCCTCCACTCAGCAGCCAGAGTGACCCTGTGAAAACATTAGTTACATCGCGACTCTCCTCTGCTCAAACCCCCCCAGTAGCTCCCGTCTCACTTGGGGTAAAAAACCGAAAATCCCACAGTGATCCACGGGGCCCTACACCGTCTGGTCACCTTCTTTCCTCCCTGTAAAGCTAGGACTAGGGCTCACAGACCCTATGAGCCCGTTGTCCAGACTGGGTCACAAACCCTCCACACGCAGGTCTACGAGCTAGGTAATAGGAAAAGGTCCTGGGAGCCATGGGTAAAAAATTAATAGGCTTTGTTCAGAGCTAGGAGCAGCCGCGCTAGTAGCTTTCCGGAGCATCCGGAGAAGCACTGTGTAGCAGAGCCATTAGTCCTTTATACTTAAGTCCCTAACCCAAAACACCTGGGTGCCTACGTGCATCTACATCAAACAGTAAACAATGAACACCTGGGCGCACGTGCACATTTACATCAGATGCTCGGCAAGATTCTGAACATCTGAGGGGCCCTGACCATTTTTCTATATTTTCCCAACGCTGCCTAACACCAGCCCTTATGCCTCTCATGTTTCTGCAGCCTCCCTGGCTTCCTGGCTGTTCCTCAAGCCCACCAGCCATGCCCTAGCCTCCGAGCCTTTATGTTGGCTGTTTCCTCTGTCTGGAACCCTGTTCTCCCAGGTAGCTCCTGGCTCGTGACTTGCCTCCTTCAAGTCTTTGTTCACACACAGCTTTCCCTGACCAACCTGTTCAACATGGCAGCCTCCCATCCCCCAGCACTCCTATCACCCTTCCCCACCTTGCCTTTTCTCCTTCTCTTTGTGCTGTACAACTTAATGATTTTGTCATACTGTATGTCTTTCTACATCCAGCAGAATGTAATTCTCTGGGAGAGTAGGAAGTATTATCACTTTTGTTCACTGCTGTATCCCCACTGCTAGAACTGTGCCTGGCACATAGGAAACATTTATCAAATACTTGTTGAATGAATGAGTGGATAAAATGAGAGGATGCATTTTGTAAGAAAATAATCTAAGTGATTCATTTTCAGAAATGACTTATCTGAGGGTGTTTTAACTCATTCAGGCCCAGCCCAAAAGTTGTCTGACTGGTCCAGCCCATTCCCAGAGGGTCTCTGAACAGATAGAGCTCTCTCTGAGATGGTAATTAGTTACTAGCCCCAATTGTTTTCTTCATTCCCTGGTGTTTCTCCTTTCACAGGGCTTAAGTGGGCCTTTTTCATAAGCTTGTCCTGAGCCCCTAGACAAGGGAATTCCTTGCAAGGGGGTAATAATTTTAACAGTCGTTCTGGAAGATTGTGCATCCCAGTAGTACTCTCAGCCAATGAGGAACTGGGGGGAGGGACTTGCGTACTAGGGAATAAATTGCTTGCTACAGCCCTTTTCCATGTGCCTGTCCCATTCACAGAAACCCAGACTTGCCAGGCTGTTATTAAAGTCTTGCTTCACTGTACCTCGTGTCTCTGTGTCCATCCTTTGGCATTGGACGGGTGAGGCCATTTCTCAAAATCTGACAGCACTTCATAATCTTCTCAGCCCTAGAGTAAGTAGGCTCATAGAAGCAGTATCTTCAGGGAGATAGACAAACACACATCGCTCACCAGTAATAATAACGATTTTCCCCTCATTTTATTATGACAATAACATAAATATAAATGACAAAAAAATTCAAATGGAACAAGAGGGTACGCAGTGGAAAGAGAATCCTGAGACCCCGCAGCCCCATTCCCCAGTGGAAAGCACCATCAGTGGCTTCTTCTATATTATTTCTGAAAGATAACTATTTTTTTTTTTTTTTTAAAGATGACCGGTAAGGGGATCTCAACCCTTGGCTTAGTGTTGTCAGCACCACGCTCAGCCAGTGAGCAAACCGGCCATCCCTATATAGGATCCGAACCTGCGGCCTTGGTGTTATCAGCACCGCACTCTACCGAGTGAGCCACGGGCCGGCCCCATCTGAAAGATAACTATTAAAATGCCATAGTAGGTGTTACAGAGCAAACACAATAAGAATTTTTTAAAATGCTGAGATATGGACTAGATGGGGGGGGACGTGAACACACATTTGTGCACTAGCACCCCCCACAGGCATGCTCCCACGTGCACGCATGCACACACACCTTTAGGAAGAGGCCTTATGTGCCAGAGGACTTGACAGGCAACCTCCTCAACACTCCTCCTCACTCGCATCTCCCTCCAGTTCTCCTCATAGGAAAGGAACATGCATGTGAACACACAGACCATCTTTTTTCTGCTTCTGTGTCTTTAAATAAATACATATAGATACATGTAATTATAAATTTGTCCAAACCCATAGAATGTAAAACACCAAGAGTGAATCCTAGTACAAACTATGGACTTTGGGTGATAATGATGTGTCCATGCAGGTTCACCACTGTCGTGGGGGATGTCAATAGTGGGTGAGGTTGTGCATGTGTGGGGAGAGGGGGCATATGGAAACTTTCTGTATCTTCTGCTCAATATTGCTGTGAACCTAAAACTGCTCTAAAATATTAAGTCTATTAAAAATAAAGGGCTATACAAATGTGAATCATTGTTCAACAAAAATTGTTTTTATTATGGAAAATGTCAAACATATGCTAGTACAGAGAATAGCAAAAGACTACATAGTGTATGATTCCATTGAAATGAAATGTCCAGAAAAGGCACATTTGGAGAGACAGAAAGCAGATCAATTGTTGCCTAGGGCTTGGGCTGGGGGTGGGATCAGGAATTGACTGCAGAGGGCTCAAGGAAACTTTTTGAGGGTGATGGACATGTTCTCAAACTGGGTTGTAGTGATGGTTGCACAACTCAATAAATTTACGAAAAGTTATTAAATTGTACACTTAACAATGGTAGATTTAATTGGTATATTACTTGATATACAAAGATCTGCACATATTTAATATATACAATTTATGAGTCTAACACACGCAAACACCAGAGATTCCAGCACCATAGTCAAGGTAATAAACATATCCAGCACCTCGCAAAGTTTCCTTGTATCTCTTTGTTTTTGTTTTCATGGTGAAAACACTTAACATGAGATCTACTCTCTTAAAAAAATTTTGAAGTGCACAGTACCATATAGTTTGTCCGGAGCCATAGAGCCCGGCTGTTGCCTAAGAGCCTGCCTGCCTGTCCGGAGCCAAAGAGCCCGCCCAGCTATTGCCTCGAGGCCTCAGAGCCTTGTTTGCTGTTATCTTCCGTCCCTCCCTATCCTGTGCACTATGGGTGTAGGTAACTTTGCAACTTGCCATAGATAATGGGAATTTTCCATTTACTGGAACAACCCACCCTGTGGTTTTCTCAGTAAACCATCTGCATACTTAATTATCTGCTGATTCCCTCCTGCTGTCTATATAAACTGTGATCTTCTGGCTAATAAATGAGACTTGACCAGAATACTGTCTTGTCTCAATTTCTCGCGTCTCTTGTCCCATCCAATTCCCACTCCCCCCTCCAGGGTCTGCGTTGAATATCCCGCGGGTCGGGACAATAGTTAACTATGCACACAGGCACTATGTTGTCCAGCAGATCTCTAGAATTTATTCATCTAGCATAACTGATATTTTATATCCATTGAACAATTCCCCATTTCCCCCATGCCCTAGCCCCTGGCAACCACTATTGTATTCTCTGCTTGTTATGAGTTTGACTATTATAGATAACTCATAGAAGTGGAATTCATGTAGTATTTGTCCTTCTGTGACTGACTTATTTCATTTAGCATAATGTCCTCCAGGTTCATCCATGTTGTACACTTCCTGATTTCAAAATATATTACAAAGATACAGTAATTAAAAGAGTATGATACTAGCATACAGACATATAGACCAATGTAACAGAACAGAGAGCCCAGAAATAAGCCTACACATACAGATGTTCCTCGACTTGTGCTAGGGCTACATCCTGATAAAGCCATCCTAAAGTTGAAAAATCACAAATCAAACCATTGTAAGTTAGGGATTATCTGTATATGGTCAATCTATCTTTAAGAAGGTTGCCAAGAAAACACAACAGAGAAAGAATAGTCTCTTCAACAAATGGTGGTGGGAAAACTGGATCTCCACATGCACAAAAATAGGAGCCCTACCTTACACCACACACAAAAATCAACTCAAAATGGATTAAAGACTTCAATGCAATACCTGAAACTGTAAAGTTCCTAGAAGAAAACATAGGGGCTGGCTGGTTAGCTCAGTTGGTTAGAGCACGGTGCTGATAACACCAAGGGCCAGGGTTTGGCCAGCCACCAAACAAACAAACAAACAAAAATAGGGGAAAAGCTTTTTGACATTGGTCTTGGCAGTGATTTTTGGATACAAAAGCAAAAGCAAAAATAGACAAGTTGGGTTACATCAAACTGGAAAGCTTCTGCACTGCAAAATAAACAATCAACAGAGTGAAAAGGCAACCTACAGAATGGGAGAAAATATTTGTAAACCATATATCTGTTAAGGGGTCAATTTCCAAAATACATAAGGAGCTCCTAAAATTCAACGACAAAAAAATAAACAACCCACTAATAAATGGGCAGAGTATTTGAACAGATGTTTCTCCAAAGAAGACATACAAATAGCCAACAGTTATATGAAAAGAAGCTCAATATCATTATCAGGGAAACGTGAATCAAAACTACAATGAGATATCAACTCTCACCTGTTAGGATGGATATTATAAAGAAAAAGAAAAAGATAAGTGTTGGAGAGGCTATGGAGAAATTGGAACCTTTGTACACGACTGGTGGAAATATAAAATGGTGCTGTAGCTATGGAAAACAGTATGAAGACTCCTTAAAAAAATTAAAAATAGAACTACCATTTGATCCATTCAATATAAAATGGTGCTGTAGCTATGGAAAACAGTATGAAGGATCCTTAAAAAAATTAAAAATAGAACTACCATTTGATCCAGCAATCCCACTTCTGGGTATACATCCAAAAGAACTGAAATCAGGATCTTGAAGAGATATGTATCTGCACTCTCATGTTTTTTGCAGCATTATTCACAATAGCCAAATTATGGAAACAACTCAAGAGTCCATTGAGAGATGAATGGATAAAGAAAATGTAGTGTATACATACAATGGAATGTTATTTAGCCTTAAGAAAGAAGAAAATCCTGCTATTTGCAACAGTAAATCTGTTTTTAATAAAACAAAAATAAAGTAGAGAAAATAGTATAACAAGATTTAATAATTATCAATTTATAGCCAGTCTTGTTTTATCTATACCCTTACTCAGTTTCCTCACTGTACTTTTTTTCTTTTTTTAAGATGACTGGTAAGGGAATCTTAACCCTTGACTTGGTGTTGTCAGCACCATGCTCTCCTCAGTGAGCCACAGGCTGGCCCTCTCACTGTACTATTTTGATGCAAATCCCAGATTACATTATTTGTAAATATTTTGATGTATCTGTAAAACACAGGAACTATTTTTTAAATGTAACCAAAATATCATTATCACAGCTAAAAAATTTAATAAGATTTCTTAATGTCATTGAATATTTCATCAGTGATCAAATTTCCTATTGTCTTATAAATATTATAAATGTTTGTTTACGATTTATTTGTTTAAAATCAGGATCCGCATAAAGCCCACATACTGTGATTGGTTGACATATCTTTTAAGTTCATTTAATATACATGTTCCCCCCTGCATATCCTCTCTGTCTCTTTCATCCTGCAGTTTCCCACAGTCTGGAATTTGCTGGCTATATCCCTGTGGTATCATTTAACATGTTCCTCTGTCCTCCTTATTTCTTATAATTTGGAGTTGGATATAGGGGCTTAATCAGATTTGGATTAAATTTGGGCAAGACTGTTTCACAGGTGGTAGTATGCACTTCCTTCGTGGGACACACAGTGTCTAGATGTATCTCTTTCTTTTTTTTTTTTAAAAGATGACCGGTAAGGGGATCTTAACCCTTGACTTGGTGTTGTCAGCACCACGCTCACCCAGTGAGCTAACCGGCCATCCCTATATGGGATCCGAACCCATGGCCTTGGTGTTATCAGCACCACACTCTACCGAGTGAGCCACAGGCCGGCCCTAGATGTATCTCTTTCTGATGTTAGCAATCACTGATGCTCAATGCCCAGATCTATTCATCATTCATTTGTTCATTTATTCAAGGGACATACCAATAAGTATATTTCTATTATAAAATAAAACCCAGCTACAGAAAATCACCTAAAACAACAGATTATTATAAGACAAACACTCTTGTAACAACCACCCATGTCAAAAAATAGATCTTCATCTACCTAGAAGTTTCCATGTGCCTCATCCTAATCTCAGCCCCCTTACTCCCTCCAAAAATAAACACTATCCTCACTTTTATAGTAAGGACAAAAAAGAAGGATATTAATAAATTTCTTTATGTTTCTTTATGGTTTTGTCACCCAAATGTGCATCCCTGGACACTATGGTTTAACCTTACTTGATTTTTATACATCATTCAAATCTCTTTTAATCTATAGGTTGGGAGAACTTTTTAAAAGCATTTATTTTGTGTAAGATACTCAATGGGAACTAAAGGAGCTACGAAAAGGAGTAAAGGAGAGAGAGTCTGAGACTGAGACTTTAGACCTCATTTGGCTTTGGGAAGGGCCAGCCTTAGCTCAAGAATCAGACAAATCAGATTAATGCCATATAGGGATGTGTAAAGGGTTGAGTGGTTCAAAGGCAGAAATCAAGCATCTGGGTGATCCCTTCTAGTTTAACCTCACACTCTTGCCATTTAACACCTAGATCAAATGTCTGATTCTGGCCAAGAAGGAGTAGCAGAGACCAGATTTACTCTCCCATGTTTAACAAGTAAAAAACTGAACAGAATATATGAAACAAAGAAGTTCGAACATTGCACATCAGACAGCACAGGACAGTAATCCATTAAAGACTAAAAACAAATGAAGCAAGCATTGTGCTTTCCCCAGCTTGTTGCCTGCAGGGTTTCCAGGATGCAGGGAGAAGGAATCCAGGTTGAGCCTGGCTGTCTCCTTGAGCTGAAGAAACAAAGTTGGGAGACCAGGGATGCCAAGGCAGTTAGTTTGTAGGACAGAGTACAGGACAGGAGAGAGAGCTCTGGCAATGTTCAGAGGGCTCCCCATGAATAGACAGCTGAGGACTGATCAGTACATTAAAACAGTGTGAGGAAGATATCTGAGGTGGGGAAAGACCCAC